ATATTAAAAAAAAGTACGTCCAAAATCATGTGTCTTGTTGTTAATTAAACCCTGCAGATGAGATAAGCCTGGGTAGGTAACATTATCATTTATTTGGTTGAGTATTGCCAGCATTAAATATGTTAAGGCCATCAATTTAATTATAATTTTATCTGTTTATAATTTTTTTCTTAAACAGTTAGTTATGATATTTGAAAATATTTGTTTATAAATTAATTTTAATATACGTGTTAAATAACAAATATTAATTATTTTATTAATTATCAATCATTTTTAACAATTAAATTAAAATAAAATTTTAACAATTTTTAGTGACGACCTTAACAAATTCAATGATAATAATAACCATAGCCCATTTATATATATAAGTTTATATATATGATTTCAATATATATGTTAAATGATAAATATTAATTGCTTTATTAGTAATTAGTTGTTTTTAACAATCAAATTAAGATAAAAATTTAACAATTTTTAATAACCTTAACAAATTTAATGGTGTAATAACCATATCCCATTTATATATATAAGTCTATATTAGTCAATCTATCATTAATGGTAGATTGGAAGTCTAGGCCTTCAGTGAAGAGTTAGGGGTTTGGTTATGGTTGGTATGGTTGTTACGTACTAGCTAGGAAACTTAACATTAGAGATTAGATTAATCTTAATTTGTCCAAATTAAACTTTGTTTCTTGAAAGAAGTTATAATTAAGAAAATACTAATTACAATCTAAATAATTAACCTATATTTGACTGATCTAGAGAGATAAATGATTTGATTTGACACAAATGGGCTTGCAATTTAATTATCTACAAACACATATATACACTAATGATGAGTTAACATGTTAATTGTCTTGCCTCCCCCCTCAAAAAAATGTTAATTGTCTCACTAATATATACTATAAACAATTACTATACAAGTATATAACCAGTCCTTACTCCAAAGTTGAGATCCTAACGTTAATTATTACAACGACCGACCATCATAAGAAGTGAGATGAAATGAAAGAGCATTTAGGGAAAAAGATAGAATCTCTATGCAGGAGATCTCTATCTAATCGATCACGACGATTTTCTATAACCCTTCGAATCTTCATAAATAGATTTCAAATTAAATTAACCACACAGAACTTGCATGATCTTATGTTACTTATGCACAAATTATCATAAAAATTATATCTCAATATATACAATATTTAGATGTAAAGATACACATATACTTGCTTTAATTAATTGAATTCGATCAACTAGAAAAAAATTATCACGGTCACAACTATTTCCATCAACATAAAGGTTGCTTTGGAATTGCATTAATTCCCACAACGTTTTTTTCTCACAATACTTCAATAAAAATATTAATTTATTATAATTAAATTAATTTTGATTAATATTTTGTATAATTTAATAATAATATTGTAATGTAACACTCTTGTAAAACAATTATTGTTAAGTGAAAAAAAATCTCACAATTTTCGTAATTATTAAATAATAACATAATTTTTGTTATAATAGAAAACTCAAAAAAGCCATAACTATAGCATTTCAAAGAATCACAACAAACACAAACCAAGAACTTATTGCATCTACTTCATGCAGACCATTTCTAAATCTAGGTTTACGTGGAGGAAAATGTCACTGAGGCAATAAGTATTCCTACATGGCAATCTTCCCTATCGCTCATTAACTCATTCTCTTTCCCCTACCTATTTAGCTAGGGCTCGTCAAATCTTCTTCTCTCTAGATCACTCTTGAGTGATTTAGATCATAATAAAAATTAGTGAAACACTCCAGCTCAAAAACTTAAGGTCAATCAGTACATGCCTAAGAGAGAAACAGGCAAAAAGATCTAGAGAGACGCAATAGTGAAGTTGGGGAGCCATTATATGGACCATTTGCAACAGTGCCTATTGTTCTGCTTGGCATTATCACAAACACTAATGCAGTGCAATATGTCTAGAACACCCATCATGATTTTCAATTCAAGGTCATCTTTCTCAATGATGATGATCTGCATTATGAAATATTAAAACGAGAATACAGAAGCTTTCATCTTAGAGAATTCATGGAAATTAAACAAGAGAAAAAGGCACAGTTTAGCCAGAATGAGAGTTTCAGAACGAACCTCTCAAAAACAAGCTTCCGCTTCTCAAAAACAAGGGGAAATACAAACAACAAGAGCTAGCAGAAGACGACTACATATTGTGATCTTCTCTTCTAAGCTTGTTTAGTAATGCTGTAATTAAAGCATCCCTTTTCTCAGCCCTAGCTTCTTCCCTCATCCTCCTTTGCTCTTCCCTTTCTCTCCACCTCCTCTCCATCATTATCCTCTCTTTTTCCAGCTCTTCCATCGCCTGTCTCCACTCAATCTCCTTCACCTTCCTCTCATTTTCCCTCGCTACGAATGCCTCCCTCCATTGCATTTCCATCTCCATCTGTTTCCTCATAAAATCCTGCAAAATCTCCCTCAAATTATTGCCAATATTCCCACTAATCTTCCCTTTTTTCTTCTTTCTAACAATGCCCTTATTCCCCTCACTCTCCTCATTATCTTCTTCTTCTTCATCAGAAGATAACTGCACCGCCTTTTTTTTCAACCCGGTCACCCCCCCTTCTCCCTCAGCCCACATCACTCTCTGATTCCTACTATCGTAAATGGCTTGAAGCTCATTATAAAATGGAAATTGTTGACGCATAGCTTCCGCCGGCTCCATAGTTCCACACCCCTAAACAAAAAAACAACCAAGTAAACATTAATTCCAAAATAAGGTTAGGCGTTCAAACTTTCTGCAATACAGCAAACCAATAAAACTTAATTATAATAACAAAAAATAGGGTTTTTTTTTACCTTATATCGTGTAACAAGGTTTTTCCATTTACATTTACACTGTTCTGCACTTCGATTATAACCCCTTTCCTTCATCTTGGCAGAGACGATTCCCCAGAGAAGCTTGTTCCTCTTAGTCTCCATGAAGGTCTGATCGAGCTCTGCTCTGATCATCAAGAACTCCTTCGTTTCTTCAATATTCCATTGTGGAAACCTATCACCCACATCAACGTTGACACTGATGTGCTGCTGCTGCTGAGGAATCAGAAGAGGATGATGATGAAGTCCTTCCATAACCTCCAAACTCGTAACCTAGAAAGACCCACAACAACAAATTAAGATGGATTTGCACCGCGGAAAGATGGGTCAAAAGGGCAAAAAGGAAAATATATGAGCACGGTGTGAAGAGAAAGGTATGAACCCTCAAGAACGGAGAGATAAAAAAATTGAAAACCCAGAGATTTTTTTTTTTTTCAATAAGGGAGAAAGATTTTCTGATGGGTTGGGGGTAGAAGAGAGGGAAGGAAAGATTATATTATTTCGTTCAGATTTAAGAAAAGGAATACCGCAGAAAAGAAAGCTTTTTTTGTCTCTCTTTCATTGATCTCATTCTTTTCTTTCTCCTCAGCAACAGTTCCCATTCCCAGTCCCTATCCATCTGTCTACGCGGAAACTCCTCCTATCTTTACTTTTCGTTTTTATTTTCATTTTTTTGTTTTCATTTTTATTTTGTTTTCCATTCGTCCTCATTGCGTCACGTGGCGTCAGGCTTACGAGAAAAGCCCCACAAAGCTATAGGTGGGAGTCTTTTTTTTTTAGAAGGGAGCAATTTTTCTATTTTTTAAAATTATAATTAGAATAATCTTAAAAATACACTCTATGTTAACTTAATACATTCAGAAATTTATTTTTTTTAATTTATAAAACAATGCTTCATTAAATTCAATTAATTCTTCTATCGACAACTTTTCCACCAATTCTAGAAAGGGTAAGGAAAAAGCGTCGATCCTGAGCTTTGAACACCGCACCCAGGGAGGTCTTTCTACCAAAGGCATGTGGCATTCAGGAAAACGTGGGTTAGTTTATTCTCTGCAAACAGGAAGTCAGCAATACAAATTACAAAACTTGAAGAATAAGCTTTTGTTTTTTTTTAAAAAAAAAAAGATTATTGAATACATAAGTTTAGTTTTATATATATATATTGACCTTCAATTAACAGTGTTGCGGAGAAAAACTTTGAGCTAATAGGAAGCACATAAGATTACGTACGGGTCCACACAAATGACTAAGAGGCCAAAAATGTGATGTGAGGTACTTTGCATATACCCTCTTTTTTTTTTCTTTTTCTTTTTTTTTTTCTAATTTGAGCTAGATTCATTTACAACTTCATCTACCATCCACACAAATAACTAAGAAATGTGATGTAAGGCACTTGCATATACTCTATTTCTCTAAATTGACCTAGATTCATTTACAACTTCTTATATCATTTAGCATGTGGATTAACTAACAGAGATAAAAATATATTCACTCCACAAATGACAAAAACAACCTTCTTATTTAATCATACAAAACAACGTACGTAGTAAATTGTAACAATTTTTTTCTTTGATCCCTATCTTATTTTATAATATTAATTAAGTATTAATTTGCATTTGTAGACTTTTCTGGTCTGCTCTCTTTTGGTCAGAACGTTTGAACAGTAAAGGTCAGAGCACTTGGTAGGAAAATCCTTCGAGACTATTACTTGGAGACTGATTCTTCCATTTTGCATGGATTTATATACAAGCGTTAAAAAATAGTAAAA